GAGTTATTGTGGCAAATTGAAATCTTATGAACTGTGTAAGAACAGACTTCCTGAATTTCATCCAAAACGACTCGTGTACTTCTTGGGACGATTGTTTCATTTGGCAGAAAAGAAAATGCAAGTAGACTTCCTCTGTAGATGGATAAAGTGAGTGGGAAAATATGCACTGAAGACTTTGGAGATGTTAGAAAACGAATCACTGAGCTGCCAGTAGCACATGTTGACACATTATAGCCTACATTACACAAGAAGTTTTATTCACACAGACTATTGTTTGTAATACATGAAGGTCCCCTTCTTAATATATATTCCATGATAAAACAAAATAACAACCACAAAAAACACAAACATTTACCTCATTATCTATGATGTAAACCGCTTGAGTGGTTTCTATATAGGCCTATATATATTATAGCAAAGTTGTTTTCCTGCAAAGTCCAAATTGAATAACGCCGAGACTCTTCCCCATCTATACATTACTTGTTGTGCAGTTGTTGCTATGATTTCACTAAATTCAAAAGTGCTACGAATTCCTTTTTTCTTCTTCTTCATTCCAAATACGCTAACTGATATTAAACAAGTTAACTGTGAGTCCATAGATATTCAAAAGAAATAACAACAGTAGTAGACAACCTTAACATTTAAAAACATTTCGATTCAATCTGCTTTGTTCTGTTCTAGGTCACTCAGTTCGCCAGACGATGAAGGAGCTTTAATATCGATATTCGTCATATCGAATATATTTGCCATTGTGAATATGTGACGTCTGAAATAATTAGCAACCAATAAATGACTAGACATGCTTGACGTCATTTATTATTGACCACGCGCGGACAGCCTTAACAATGAAGCTGACTAAATAGAAAGGCGTTATTTATACAAGACGACATTTATATCAATTTTGTCAGATAAAAATTAATGATGAGTGACATTGCATTCATTTCCCGCTTAATTTCATTAGAATCAAGGAATTTTATTTTGTTAATTCTAATTTCAAGTTTGTATTCAATTTTATTTAATTACATCTATTTTGGTGGAGGGGGAAGCTCCATCTAGGACCGTTTGATGAAGCTTAGGTGCATTTGTCCACAGTCTTGTCTACATAGTGTATCTCAATGGATGATAAAAACATTCACAAAAGAATCCTTTAAAAAAAGAAATCTCTTTATCCTTCTGGTATCATCCTCCCTCATTACTAGTATATATTATAAATATTATATAAGCTTACTATATTACCATAATTTTACATTTCAACGAATCTCATGTTGTTTCATCATTTTCTATAAAATATCTGTACATAATTCATTCTAAATGTTTTATTCCAAGTTGTATATCCCGTGGATACTTATTCGAATCTTGATCTTGTGCACACCCACCTGCTTTGCCTATATGTAATAATGATGTAATGTCGATATGATTTATGAATTCATTTCCTTTACGTATATGATAGGTGTTATGTGCTGATGTTGCGTGGTGTATTTCATTGCACATGTGGGTTTTCTTATGTCCTTTCATATTCAACATCATTAGCAAATTTGATTCTTTGAAATTCAGCTTCCATCTAAAATATTACATTATTTATGAAAGATGTAGGAAATAGAAAACAATTAGTGGAGCACCAAATTTGATATATTGCGCTCATTCTTTTAAGATAAGGAAAGAAAATATTTCGGGAGAAAACACCCCCCCCCCTTTTTTTTTGTGCAAATAAGATTAATTATGAAAATAAAACCATGAATATAAATGAGAATATTAAATCCAAGGGAGAAAATAAAATAATTGAAATTATACAACATTTTGCCTGATTTCCTTTAGCTATAGTGTAGGAAATAATTAAATCACAACTTTTGTTATGGTTTTAGTATATAGCTTTATCCTCCTGGCCCCAAAGTATCGGGTGTTATTAATCAGTGGCGACGTTTACAACATCAGAATGTGAGAGATTGTCTTTAAACATGCAATGATGATATACTTTAAAAGTTTCAAGGCGACAGACATAGACTGAAAATGACATAGGCGTCTTCATAATTATGTTCAATATTGATGTCAGCGTCTTCTGTCATTGTTTCCATTATAACCTGGATCATCATTGTGAAAACCATTGCTTTATGTCTTCCTCTATACAAGTCACTCTCCCATTTCTTATGTGTCAATTCTTTTTCTTCTTAATTATTATTGAGGCTTACAAGGACATTAAGAAATTTAAGCCTGGGCTATAGGCCTCCTATCTAATTCATGTTTGTTATGGATACGTTGTGACATATGATTTGTTTTCTTATGTACTGTAATCTAAAAAAATGCATCAAATTTACATTTATGTTCATGAAGATGTGTCTCTGATAAAGAAACCCATGATTCAAACAAATGAATTAACCTTCATCATGCCAAATGTTATAAATATCACCTACGTCGGTACCAATATTGATACTATCATTATTATCCATCATCGTCGTCATTCTATCTCTCCTCCTCTTCCACCACCTCACCATCATTATTCCTCCTCAAAACTCGTTAGGCTTGCGTATTACATTAATTTTATTACGACAATTTATTATTCTCGTTCAGCTCCTAGAGGTCGTTTTGTTGTACTCAAGAGTAGTTATTGGTGGTGTTTCACAAAGAAGTCGAACTTAACTCTTAGTTGGACTTAAACATTATGGAGAGCCATTTGTAGCCTTAAAATGAAATATATTCAAAAGCAAAAATTGAAGTATTTTTGACTTTTCATAAATTCCACATCAAAAACATGAAATCTCCTTGATAAAAGAAAATATGAATGATTTGAATCAACATTTTATGCCTTTTGAAATAAGTTTACAAAATAATTCCAAAGATGCCAACGGCTTTCCATAATGTTAAGTCCAACTTTAAAGACAAGTTCAACTTAGGATCTTTGTGAAACATCCCCCAGCAATATTACAAATTCAACCACGTTCCAATCCTCCTTATTTACCATTTTGTTTAACATCCCTTCGTTAATTTTCCATCGACTTCATTTCTTAAAAATTAATGTTACCCCCCCCCTCTCTCTCTCTCTCTCTCTCTCTCTCTCTCTTTCTCTCTTTCTCTTGCTTATGTCTATATTCCCATCTCACTCCGATTATAAGAAATGGGGCAAAAGACTTTGCTCCGTATGGAAAGAGATAACTGCGTTAATCTGGCTATTTTTAGGGACTCATGCCCTGGACGAACTCTCATCTATTCATTTCATCAAAACATTTTTGTCTCTCTCTCTCTATCTACTTTTCTTTCTCTCTGTCTCTCTCTCTCTCTCTCTCTCTCTCTTTGTGTCCCTCTCTTTCTCTCTTATCTCTCTGTCCATCTCAGATTACGATTATAAATTCCCTTAGGTAGATTTTTTTTGAGTGATTATGATAGGTGATATGGCAGGTGCTACGAGGTACAAGACAATATAAGGTCCGCTGGATGTTGACGCCTCATTTCTTTTCTCGCGACGTTCGGTGCGCATCGTTTCCTGTGATTTTATGCCTTGAGCTCAAGCATCTTCTAAACGTGAACAGTTGCAGTTTTTGGAAATTAAAAATCAAGCTGTCAAGACTTGTATATATAGTTCTGGGACAACTCCATGTATGTTAGGGGATTTTTATAATAGGTTATTATTTATAATTGCCAACATAACGATTTTTTTACTTGCACATCACGGTTTTACAAATTATGCACCCTTTTGTTGTCTGCACCTTCACCTGCTGTCACAACACATCCCATCCCAGTATAGCTTGGGAAAGCTGCTTCTGTGATTACCTCATCAAGTATCAAGACAGTATCAAGAGCCCGACTCATTATACATTCATCAGAGAACACAAATCAGCAGTGAATTAGCATTATGCCGATTCCTATTCAATATGATGAGATTGACATTTTTACTTTATACATTTTTGTATCATCATAAAAGGGAATGTTTATTATATTCTACATTTTCAACCAGTGCTATGAAGGATAGAAAGCATATTATGTCAGGCTTGTATCCGACCCGTTGGGGGCGTTGTTCCATGCTTAGGATTATGGAGTGGGGGTAAACAAATAAATTGAAAGTTTTTTCTCCAGAGGACACACTCATTTACTTGCGAAATTATTTTTAACCAATCGCCCCTTGACGAATCGACACCCCTGTTGTTTGCTGTTCATCAAAATAACCAACTGAATTGGCTATCTTTGTATGGAATTTACTACTACACGCATTTCGCATGTTCCGATGAATTGTATTTTTACAACATTCGTTGTAATTTACCATGTACGTATACCTATTCCTCGAATGTACCTTAGAGACTGTCTAGATGATATTACATTGCAAGCATCCATCTTAGCATGTAATTGGATTATGTCCTCTAACCAGTATCTGCTAAACTGCGTAATTTATCCATTTGAAAATTGGATTGCTCTAGCATTCCCGCTCTTCCATTAGCCAATGTTCAGGTTGCGTTCACATTTGACATAGAAACTGCATACCTCTCGGTGTCCAGACATATGATTATTTTGATTCTGCAACAATCATTGCAGGCCTTTTTTTGTCAGGGTTAGGATTAGAGTTAGAATTTGCATTCAGGCTAGGCTTAGGGTTAGGGTTATGTTCAGTGTTCGGTCGAGGGTTGAAGTTATGAATTCGGTTAATGTAGGAAATTGACATGGACCAATATTGTTATTCAACGAGTGTGTAAGAATTGTATTACCAAATTTTTGCTTTGTTTTGATTCATTAACATAATCAATTTCAATAATTTTATATTTGGGGAAAATTGCCGAAATGATTGACATGATTTATCGTGAAAGCTGTGAATCGTATTTCCAATAACTTCAAAATAACCGCTTGGCGTGTGGGAGCAGCATTCAACTTAAAATGCCAATTTATGATGTGCACTGCAATTGGGCGCAACCTCCATATTTAATAGAACGCCTGGGTGCCCCGCTTATGCTATGATCTTAAGAGATTGAATGATGCACGCTTGAATCATTCATGACATTCTCTTCCATTGATTTTTGCAGGTTTCGACTGCTGAGCATCACCCGCTGAGCACTGAGTCAGAAGAGATAAAGATAAGAAAGTGGATATTGCTCACAAGTGCAGGCTTCGAGGACCCTCAATTTCGTTCGTTCTCGAGAAAGTTCACATGACGTCGAGGGTTTTTACGAGATCTTCTGGTCAAGAGAGAAACGATGCGAATTAGACATTTCATGGATAACAAGCCTGTAGGTAGAGACGAGAGCATTCGCGCTGCGACAGTACGCAGCCTGTATGATGGAACAGAGATGTCGAGAGACGAAAATGCGCAGACGACATCTCAGCATGAATTCGCTTCGCGGGAAAATCGCTGCAACGAAAGCGACAATTTTTCCCTGCCGGAGGTCAATGCGAACGCCCCGCTTTCCACATCTACTGTAGATGACGACCGTTACGCATATGCGTTGCGTACGCGTTTGACTGGCGACCAAGAAAGGCGACGTGCAACTCGTCATGATGCGGGTGACGGAATCGCCGGCGGCCATCCGACAATAGAATTTGATTTACGAAGACGAAATGGAGGGGAAGAGGTAGATATGTTGTGTCATAGTTTCGCCGGTATTGACGAGGATGATTATGTTCGAGCTGCTTCCGACTCTGAGCCCCAGGGCAACGAGAGGGATGACATTTTGATGGGTGCGTGTAGCAGCAGCTGTAGCAGCATCAGTGACTGTGGAATGGCCACCACCGGGGTGATATCCACCAGCAGCACCCGGAGAACTCTTGGACAGATTCGAGAGAGCTTGGAGCAAAAAGTCAAGCGCTTACGGGCGGAGAAAGAGGCGGTGGACGAGAAGATTCGTCTGGCGCAGGAAGAAGAAGAAATCAGAATGCGAGAGAAAATCAAAATTCGCGGGAAAGTGATCATGCAGAGGAAAGATCGTCTAAGAAAATTGGTGTGTGATTTGAAAGGTCAGTTGGATGACCACAGTCAGAGACTACAGAATGCCTACAGCACGCTTCTCCTGTTACAGAGGACTATCTTTAGAAGTAGGAGCTTCTGCAGGAGTAGGCGAATCAAGCAGAGGCCGGGACTGGCAGAGGCGCCATTTTAAAAATTACCGCTGACCTGAGAATGTATAATAGCAGGGACTTTAGAAACAGTCTTTATGCTCCCTGCACATGCTCTGTTCCGGGTCTAGAACAAGTGAATTTGCATTTATATGAAAATATGATTATCATTCACCCCAGATTCTGACCTTCATTTCAAAATTGATTTGTGCAATTTTGTATTATAATCTACTTTGTAGATAATGTAGATATTGTATGTTAGTATATAGCATGATCTATATATTGATTTATATGTCAACCGTTTAATACTTTTGCTGTAAACAATAATGGAAACCTACGTTAGTTACATTCTTTTTCCAAACGGTATAGTGCAATGAGTGGAGATGGTACAAAGTGATTGGATTATTTTCTGATCTAGTTTGAAAGTAAGAATATGGCTTACAAACAAGACAGTGTTGAAACCTTTAGCTTTGTAATTAACGTATATATCAAAATCTTTCATTAAGTTGTGAAGTAACTTTTATATGTGGATGTTTCTGTGAGATTGAGAAATGAGATGGCGGCCAAATTAACGAAATTTTGTATTTCCGTTATTCTATAAATAAGTCAATATTCCTGCTTCATAATAAACTTGAAGAAACAAATCATTGCCAAATGGTTTTGGGGTGAGCGTAAGCAATGCGATGTATTTATGCATGCCTATAATCTTTATAACAAAAATACTAATGTAGATGTTTTCCTGTCGTCATGATGGGCCTAGTATTGTTGACCATTTCTTTTCTTCATTTATCTTCTCTGTCCCTCTCAAAGTCATAATTTTTCTTCATCAAGATAATCTCTTTTTTCCCCATCCTCTCCTTTTCTCTCTGTGCTCTTTCTCCACCTTCCCCTATTTTTCATGACTGTGCGTATTTTTTTGTTCGGTCCTTTTTCTCTAATTCTCTTTAAACTTCACGTTACCTTATATTAATTCATTTATTTTCAGGCAATAGGCAGTTTCTGGGGGAAAACGATTGAAAAATTTCTCCGATTTAAAGAGATATGAAGTTGATTTTTATGATGATTTAATGCCCTTAAAAATTACCTTTACAATAGAAAAACTATAATGGACATCGGTGTCAAATTTCACATTAGTATTTATATTTGTGAAAATCAGATTCTTCCTATATATTATGATAATAAAAGGTGAATACTTTCAACATTACTATAAAACTATGCATTTCCTTAATAAAATTCAGTATATATGTAGGATATAGAATGTTTGTTAACTCTTTCACCTTTAAATGAATTTGTATAATTTCAAATGTCTATTTAAAGTTCTAACAAGACAAAACAATATTCATAGTAATTATATTCAACAGAAATTGATGTAACCAATAATGAATTATGTAACTTAAAAAGATATTAAAAGAAAGTTCTTGACTAAAAACCAAAACAAATTCTTCAAATTTCAAATTTGTAGGATCTTCATCAAAGTAGGCTGCAGCATTTCGTAAATTATCTTGTTAAAGATATTCAAATAATGCATTCAACGATTGTCTCAAGGAAAGAATATTCTGGCATTGTAGCTGTGTTTTTCCGTTTTATTTGTTGTGTTCATAATCGAATGTTTGGAACGAAAATTCGTTTAAGATTATATTGATGCATTTGTATAGGTCACGACGGAAAAATATCTGTATATAGATTCCGTGATATCGGATGAAAGAGATAATCAACGATATGGGCTAAACGTGAATATGAAGAAATGTATACAAGGACAAAGAAATTGTTTAGCATTAGCAACAGCCCCCTCGCATCCAAACACCAATTTCCAAAATCGCATCATCTTCACGTCTGTTTGGAGCAGGACATAACGCCTTTCTGGCTCTGAACATAATCAATTGTATTCGCTTCGTGGCAGCGCGTTCATGCCAATACGATTTCATCTCGCTAATAGGTTCTCATTCCAATCCACCTTTTAAATATGCTTTCACCAGGTGTTCATATATGATCCAATTAATGTGAAAAGCCTTGAACATAAATTGTGATGGTCCGACGTAAAAGATTGTAATAATATGAAGTGATGCCTTACTCATCATGAGTACAAGCATGCTGCCTGAATTAATTTCTTCGACATGAGTTATATGCAATCGTTTGATGGGCCTACATGTCTGGTTGCTATGGTTACAAGTATTTTCGATTGATTATATTGCTCTGTAATGTTCTATGAGGTGAATTATTAACTTGATGTAACATTATGATAGATATTAATTATGAGTGGATGTAAGATATAAAGAGAGATTTCCTAATCATGAAAATGACAAGAGTATTGTATACATAAAGAATGAAAAATAAAAATAAACGCTTTGTATATTGACAAACTTAAATGTTGTTATGAAATACGTGTTCGCGTAGCTGAGAATGATATCGCTGGAAATGATGGCGTTGAAAACGTGGATGATGATGGTCATGATGATGGCGATGATGATGTTCATGAAGACGATGATTATGATGATAGAGGTGGTGGTGGTGGTGATGACGATATCCATTTACGATGATGATGGTAATGATGATGACGATGATGGTGTTGATAAAGACGATGATGATGATAGAGGTGGTGGTGACGATGTCCATAATTATAATAATTATGATGACGATGATGGTGTTGATGAAGACGATAATGATGGTGATGTGGTGGTGATGGTGACGATGTTTATATGATGACGATGATGATGTTGATGAAGACGATGAAGACGAATACGATGGTGATGATGATATATAGAGGGGGCGGTGGTGGTGACGATGATGATGATGATGATGATGATCAAAATAATGGTGACGATGATGATGGTGGTGTTGGTGAAGATATAGTGGAAGTGGTGACGATGACGACGATGATGATGAAGAAGACAAACTTGGCATGAATTTATGTGTTTGACATGAGTTATGCAAAGACAATGCTCTTGACCAAATCAAGGAGGTATCTCATTGATAGAATGAGAAATCTGCAATGATGATGTTGGCCGTTATTATAATTATGGAGCACCCTGTCAAAGATGTTAATGGTGGCGAAAGTCTGAATAATATAGTTCCAGATGAAGACTTGGAAAATTATCAAGACAATTATTATAAAGAATATGTTTTTGAAATGAAGATGAGGCAATAAGAGACGATGAGGGTGATGAGGAGGGGGTTAATTATGATGATTGTGATTAAGATATTGAGACTGGATGAGAAAAAATGGTAAAGATTAGATAATGAAAAAGATGATGATGATGATGATGAAGATGATGATGTTGAGGATGATGATGAAGATGATGATGACGATGACGATGACGACGATGATGATGTTGATGATGATGATGATGATGTTGTTGATGATGATGTTATTGATGATGATGATGATGATGATGATGATGATGAAAAATGATAACAAAATTTAGGAAAATGTGTGACCATTAAGTGATGGATAAAGATCGTCATTAACGAGATGATGATGATAGACGAAGACCGATGATTATTATAATGATGGTATGTCATGCGTTCCGGTTGGTATAATTTGGATGTATTTGTTGCTGTTCATAGTAGTAGTGGTGATGAAGATTATAGTTATTGTTATGATAATAACGGTGTAGTGGCGTTGTTGTACCTGTTGTTGATGATGAGAGGATGAGAAGGAGGAGGAGTAGGTGGAGGTGGTCATGGATGACTCCAATAATGATTACTCAATGCATATGTTTACTGGAAAAAAGTAAATAGGTTGATGAGTATTGATGATATAGTTGTTACTTAAACATACAATTTTAATCTCATAAAACGCACGAGACGGGGGAGGGCCTACCCCCCCCCCCCCCCGGAATTATAAAAATGTAATATTTGAGCAACGGTATCTCATTATTTTACGGTCAGCCAGCAAGGTGGTCTATTTGTAAGTTTTCATGTCTAGTACTAGATAATATTGATTTTCATAAGTATATAACTGAAGCTCGGGGCTCGTTCGAAGTGCCTAGTAATATTTATGAAAAGAAAATATATGTAGGAGCTCATTACACCTCAACTCGACTGCATTAAGCCAGTTCATATACAGTTGCAGTCTGAGCATGCATGAGCAGATAAAGGTCATTGCAGACCTAATTGTGAAATACACGGAGACAAAATACTGGATACGTGCTTGTGAAACTTATGTAATCATTATTAATTGTATGCATAAGCAGTGCACTCCATGATACACAGGTGGAAGTATTCTTTAAAAAAAGGGGGGAAACAAAGGTAATTTAATGAAGCACCTCCCTAGCTATAGGAGTGATTAGGGACGTTTAGATTCGCACGAAGACAATGGGGATTGCTACGATCGACGTCCTTTTAACGCACTGCCTTGAATGGACGTCACACGTATCAGTTCACGCAAATCTAAAAGTCCCCATAATTTCAAAATTTACAACGTGGGACCTCTTCATGTTTTGAAGGTGGGGATATTAGGGGTCATTTCGGACATGACTGTGCTGACTGGTCTATTGATCACTCTGTCGTAATCGAAAGAGCGCCCTCTATTGATTGTGTCTTCCATTCGTGCTACGCATTGAATTTCTCTTTCATTTTTTTTTACAATTAAATAAAGGTCTATAATTCCTACAAGTGGAATGACCTTAATCTATCAATATGATTGATCTATGGTAAGTGGCGAAGTATGGTTCCAGCCACTGAGGGACACTAGCCATTACAGGGGGTGGGTACACGTTTCTCATGAGGAAGTCCAGGGGCGGTTCCAGGGGGGGGGGGCATAATGTTCAGTTTACGCATGCATTCAGAAATGCCTCAGGATGTACCATTAGAGCAACTTAAGGTTCAACATTTTCCGGACCCTATGCCGTAAAGAATTCGCGCTCGCAATTTCGTCCATTTCTCGCCCCACCCCTTTTAGGAACACCCTGGATCCGCCCCTTAATTGTAGATGGAATGTGAGCAAGCAAGGTGAGCAAGCGGATCGAGATGGAGAGAACCAAGATGTCATAGGCCTATCTCATTTTCTCACTTTTATACCCACCGTCTTATTATAATTTATCCCCCCCCCCCTCCCCCCTCTCTCTCCCCCCTTCTCTCTTCCCCCTCTCTTTCTCTCCCTCCCTCCCTCACTAGCTCTCTCCCTGTTGTTTGGTCGATTATTACTCCGACTGCAACTTATAGGCTACGTCTTCTACTGGTGCTGTTGAGAGTGCTGTTGCTTCTACTGTTATGGTTATGCTAAAAAAACAACTATTGCAATAGGCATAATTATATACCTTTTGTACCTAAACAAGAAGAGTGTAAATAATTTGAAATTTATGATTGAGTAATAATGTAATCAGCAACCACAACCACAACAACAACAATGATAACGACGGTGACATAGTCCTCCACGTGTTATTTCTATATATAGTTGGGAGACTAAATTAGGTCTATAATTATCTCCAGCAACAGGATAACAGATACAAACATCTTGAGACAACAACGATAACTAGGCCTATTTTTGTTTTGTGGCAAATCCATGAGCTTGTCATTTCATGATCAAGTGATCGGTTTGTGTCCACGTGTAAAGCTGTCTACGCGGCAGTTAAGATGGACAATAGATAGAGCCCCCTCTCTCATCAAAGAGCATTAAAGGATACTTAATTCTTTAACAATGGCAAAGTTTTCTCTTACCTCACAACTCACAAGTATACTTGCAGTTGCAAATGTGCAAATAATGGACCCCACCCCCCCCCCCATAAGTGATCGGTTTGTGTCCACGTGTAAAGCTGTCTACGCGGCAGTTAAGATGGACAATAGATAGAGCCCCCTCTCTCATCAAAGAGCATTAAAGGATACTTAATTCTTTAACAATGGCAAAGTTTTCTCTTACCTCACAACTCACAAGTATACTTGCAGTTGCAAATGTGCAAATAATGGACCCCCACCCCCCCCCCATTACAACTTTCAATGGACTATTGTTGGATGACGGCGTTGTTGTTGATGTTGTCCTTTTCGTTATGATAGTTGAAAACGTCGCCCTATTTTCTCATAGTTATACTATACTAAATTGACATTCAAAACAATTTATTGGTCAATGGGCATAATGAGCCACAACGCAAATTTGGTAAATATGGTTGTGATATATATGTTTTTAAGAAGAAGATAATTTTATCAAAACCAGAGATTTACAGAAAGAATGAAACATTTTAATAAAAGAGTATCATTTTTAAAATAAATGTCGGAAATATCCGTGAAAATTATGTGACTACACTGGATTTGAATGTTGTATCAACATTTCAAAGCCCCTCTCTCATTTCTTACTATTTTTATTAATTATATTTTCGACACATTTGGGTATTGCCTTATAAGCGTAATAACGAAAAATTTACTACTTCTGCTACTATATTACTACTTCTACTACTACTACTACTACTACTACTACTACTACTATACTACTACTACTACTACTACTACTATTACTACTACTACTATTATGATGGAAATAATGATAATAATTGTAATAATAATAATAATAACAACAACAATAATAAAAACAATAATTTGTAATAATGATGATGATAATAATAACAGTAATAATCGGGCTTGTACACAAGTAACATTATGCACTTTCTCCAATCCCTTGGGAGGATATCCCAGCTAGGTGCCATTAGACGCTCACATAGTATGAGCAAACTGCAATGGCTGCTTGGGTGGAGATGAAAGAGAAGCAACCGGGGACCTGAACCCGCGACCTTTCCAGTCAAGTGTTTAAACCACTCGACTACAACACCTTTTCATGTGGCGGATCCAGTGGCCTTTAACTGCACAGCAAAGTTGTTTTCATGTTTGTTTTCAACACTTTCTGACCCCCCCCCCCCCCCCCCTCTACCCAGCCAGAGCCTGAATTCAACACCGCATGAGTTAGGATGTGTTTGGGCTTACTATCGGCTGATAAAACCGGGGGGGGGGGGGAACTCAGATTTGATTTAGATGGGGTGTAATGCTCAAGCCTCGAAACCCTTATACCCATTTTTAAGGGTCATCTTGGAAGATTTTTCTAGAAATATTATAGGATTTAATGTTATTTTGTACACATCAAAAGGTGATGGTAAATTTCGTAATCTGCTCCAAACTTCGGTTCCATCGCCTGTAGTTTTGTACGATTGACATTTACGTAGTATTTACATTTCTTTATCTTCCTTAAAGAGGTTCACCTGATTGGCAGTAATTCTTTATCTTATCAACGGAAATAAACCAAAACATTAACCATTAACTAATTCAGCAAAGAGGGTGCGGAGGCCTACTGTACTATAATGTGATATGAAACTCATTTGATGCATAGGCCCTATTGATATTCTTTTTATTAACAAAGTTCATCTTTGCATGTATGTAGCCCGGC